ATATTGATCTGCATGTTTTAGTACATGTTTCTTGATGGGTCCATTTAATCAGTTGAAGAAGATGTTCGCGTCAACAAGAGTAATTGCAACTATATTAGTATTTGTTTCTATTGCTTTAACTTTATTTGCAGCTTTATATGTAAGTATTCAATATTTTCTATTAGTAATATATTCCTTAAAATATTCATAACATTTTTATTTCCAGTTGCACAATCCTGGTCTAGCTCTTCTATTTATAATTATTCAATCTCTAGCTATGACATGGTATTCCTTGTCATATATACCATATGCTCGTGATGCTGTCAAAAAGACAGTGGAAGCTTGCATTATATAAGAAATTCTCTTTTTTTTCTCTTTTATCAAAATTTATATAAATGTACTATTTAAATTTATTGATTTTTTGATACTTGAATAATTTTGTAATACTTAACATAAATTATATTTTAAATGTATAAAAAAATATTCTAATGATAAGTATATAAATTATAATACATATAGGTTATAATATATAAAATAATATGAAATTATAATAGCAGTAATAAGCCAAATGTAGTTATAAATTTGATAGCTCAGATTTAATAAGACTATATTCATATGCTGCATCAGAAATTATTTGTATTGTTTAAATTTTTTGTTCAAATGTTTTGTTCTTATTAATATAAATTTCTTTTTATTTAAATAATAAATGTTAAACATAATAACGCAATGTATTTATTTTTTTTACATTCGGATTTATTATATGTAATTATAAAATCCTGAAATATTCTTATATTTTTTATTGTAAGATACTTCATTAATGTACTCACAAAAATTATTAATAACTTTATTCACAATAATCCATAATATAATAATTTTTGTAATATACATCATACGTAGCAAAAATATATGATATTGTATAAATTTTATACAAAATTTCTTTAATAATTCAATATTAATCTTGATTTTTATATAAGAATTAAATTATAATATACTTATAATATACTTTCTTAATAAATTCAAATATTAAT